TTTTACATAGTTAATCTGGGCTGTAACAGTGACTTGTTCTTTCATATGTAGCTGCATTAAGAGTTTTTATGCATTTTATGCTGTATCAGTTGCACAGAAAGCGTGTTGTCGGGACCCTGTCTTTGTGTGTGGGCGTATGCGCGCGTTGTTTTTAAGGCATTTTACCCGAGGGTTTCAATTCGGGGTTCATAAAAATTAAAAAGTTGAAATTTTAAGAAGAACCCTTACTTGGTGTGATTTCACAAACTTAAATTCAGCATCCGCGCGCTAAGCTTCAGTTGTTTTGGCATCTAAATTAATAGCTCGTGAAGCACAGAAGGTAAGAGGCTGAAATTTCAGGATAACGTTTTTGCCTGCCTGTAAATTCTGTCCCAGCGCACGTTTAGGTCTCACGCACAAACACAGTGTAAAGTTCTGGTAACAAAATCGGTAACTTGGGAAACACAGAAGCCAGGAAGCTGAAATTTTAGGAGAGTGTTTCTTGCTGGCGTGTGACCCAGAAAAATTAAATTCACTCTCCAAGTACGCCTTGGTCTCGGGTACGGACATGTGGAAGTTTTGGTGCCTAAATTAACAATTCAGGAACCGGGGAAGTTGGGAATTTAAAATTTCAGAATAATGGTCCTGCCCACGTATAAATTCAGTTCTTGGGTAGTATCAAGTACAATGGGCACTTTTAACAGAAAAATTCTTTGAACAAAGTTTCACAAGCATCACTTGGGCAGAATTGAAAAAACGTACGCCGAACAGTATTGCATAGCCGTTTGCTGGCAGGATTGCACAAACGGCGTAACCATACCAGTTACCCTGGTGCGCCGCTATTTTTCATCAGGCGTTTCCCTCCAAAATCTTTGCTAATCAAGCTTTATTCGAAATGTGTTTTTATGTAAAATAACTTTTAGATGGTGCTGCCAAAATGTGACGATGAAATGGATACGACCATGAATATTCCTAATGGCGTTACAACAATTGAGGTCTATTTGTTTCATTATCACATTCGTATATTATGCAGATTTCAAAAAAACTGCAACTCATAGTCGAGTGCTGATTAAATTATAAAAAATGATTGAATAGTGTATGTAATCTGAAAGTGAGTCTTACGTTGCACTGAGGCATGGTG